CCGGATTACAGAGGCAACAGTACATCGGCTGAACCCTCTGTCCAGCCTCTCTCATCGTCACACCATGGTTGATAACATTTCATTTCATTAGAGAGTATTCTTCTTTGTCCACGTCCTCTCCCTCCAGCTCTTCCTCTACCTCTCATTCTTCCTCCTCTCACTCTCACCCCACCTCTTCCTCTCTCCTCCTCCTCTTGCTTCCATGTTGGCTTCCATTGTTGCTGTAAGAAAGTACTCACCTGTGGTCTTTTTATAGTGCTAACATCCTGATTGATGAGCCAACAATTATGCTATCAGGTGTTTGGTCAGGTGGAACGTGTTTCTTGATCATTGGTCCATGTGTGAGGCATTTTGAATATCAGTGTTTTAAACCAGCTAACACGTGACTTTATGTCAGATTCCTGTGTCTTACGTTGAGAAACGTGTGCAGTGGTTTGCAAAAAGTGCCATGTTGATTTGCAAATTGTGTGAAAAGCTGAAAACGTGTTTAGAGTTTTGGAGATTTGAGCCGATGTTTTGCTCTTTGAGTGTCAGTTAAAATAATTGTGCTTTATGTATAATTTTAGTGTGTTAGCAATCGAGAAAAACTGTAATAGTCAATAATTATTTGTTGGTTCATTGCTAGGAGCAACTCATGTCTCCTTCAAGTAGTCATGATCCATTGTTGATATTAAAGTAGAGATTGTAGCTGCTTGGAGAAACTGTCTATGGAAAATAGATTCTGAGCTCCAATACACAAAAATATATTTGATTTGGTCCAACCACATATGCCTTTATAAGAAATAATCACACATTCTCAGAAGAGTTTTTGACCCATGCTTTGAAGCAGAAAGGGTTTGAAGCTATATCAAGTCATATACACTACATGGTCATAAATACAAATGTTGTAAATGTCACGTCTCTTTTTATGACTCTCTCTCTTTCTTCGTCAGAACCATGAGTTTGTGGACGAGCAGTATTACCAGCAGAGCTACCTGGAGGCGGGGCTTCAGAACTACCCTTCTCGAAGCCCCTCCCTCTCCAGCCAAGATGGCGTGACGGGCACCTGCTGCAGCCGCCGAAGCAAGAAGCACCACACCCCTTTACAGAACACCAGTGCCCCTGCGCTCATGCAGCCTCTGACACACAAACACACACACCAACAAGGCCTGCAGGAGCTCAGCACCATCCACATCCGGCCCCTCAGCACCAGGTGAGCCCGGCCATCAGGGGACAGGGAAAGCACTACTACCTTTTACTACTTTAACTTTTGACTTTAACTACTTTAACTCAATGATGTTCAAGTGATCTATGACATGAAGTCTGTTACTCAGATATATACTGTAAATCACAATTGTGCCAATAAAGAGCTGTTCACTCTCTAGTGTGCCCATGAAGATAATCTGAAAACTAAATAGGATTTTAAAAAATGTGTTTACTAAGAAGCAAATGAAGAGTGGCTGACATGTACATGCTACTACTATCTTTACTACTATAAAAATACTGTAAATTACAATTGTGATATGCCATAAAGAGTTGTTTACTCTCTAGTGTGCACATTAAGATATTCTGGAAACTAAATATGATACAAATATGTATTTCTTAAGAAGCAAATGAGTGGATGACATGCTATCCTTACTACTATAAAAAAAAAAAAAAGATACCCAAAATTCCAGAATAGTGTATTTTACCATTTTGACTCGGCATCCATTTGTTCAGCTGTTTTTCTTTTCAGAGAATGGGAATATTAATTACCTTGAAATATTATTCCGCTCCTGCACTGTAGAAAAATGTTCTTCTCCCTACTTCACTTTTTAGAAGGAGTTGTTTCAGGTTAGATACACCAGCCATGAGATCCCAAACAATCTGAATATACCCAGGGAAATCATTTGAAAAAAGACCTTGTAAACTATTGAAGACCATTATTAGTTTTTAACGTGGCACTTTACCTTCAACAGGAAGCCAATTGAATTTTCAAAATGTGTTTTGCTAATAAGCATTTGTGGATTCAAAGTTAGACAACCCTCATTAGTTTTTCCTTTGCTTTTTGAAGATTATATTTTGTTCTTCTTAGTTGTCTCCTGAAAATAAGAAACAGAACAAGTTCCCCTTAATCTTAGTTTGAATTCAAGAGAAAACTGGTTATGTCCCTTACTTAAAAGAATACATTCAGATTCGTCCAAGTGCAAGGATAATTGTTGCTAAGGCTCTCCGTTGTTTCTAAGCTTATTTAAAGAACACAACTGATCAGTTTCATTAGCAGCTAAGAGCTATGAAGAGCAGAGTGAGGTGTTGATTCTGAATTGGTTTAACACTACAATCACCAATTTCACATTAACACCTGGGTTTATTTAAAGCTCCATAAAACATGAGGACCCATTCACTGCAGTGGCAAATTAAGAGTTGTGCTTTCAGTTAAAAAGGGGTAACAGAAGGGTTTCTAGTGTCCTTTTTTCCTACTTATCTCGGACATGAACCAATAGGTTTCAACATCGAGAAACTATCCCAAGCCTTTCTTTTTCATCCTCCTGTAGCCGCTCCAGTCTGAACATGCGAGTAGACGAGCCAGCCTCCCTGAACTGCCAGAGCAACCAGATCACCACAGCCATAATCAGCATTCCCACACCGCCAGTGACGACTCCTGATGGCGATCTGACCCACCAGAACGTTGTGAAGGTGTCCACACTGTGAAGACTAGAGTGCAGGAGCCTCACATAGAAAGACATTAAAAAGACTCATTGAGACAGACTGAGGGACAGAGGAGGACTGGGAGCGATGGAGGAAAGGCATTCAGAGTCCAAGTTTGGCCGTGGTGGAGCCTGCCCTCTGCTGGTCATGTACTGTAACGACATGGACTGCCTGAACACACAGAGGACGGCTTTTAGATACAGTGTATTCATGTCATTGGTTGGCACGCATGTGTGTGTGCGTGTATGTGTGGGTGAAAGAGAGGTGAAAATGTGTATGGAGACGTTTTGGATGAGGAGACGTGTGAGAGCGTGTCTCCCAAGTATCGGAGGTGGGCAAGGCATGTCACTGTGCACACAGCACCTTTTTATGATTTCTGCTTCAGTTTGACTCATGGTCTATTTTTAGCAGGAGATATATATATATATGTAAGAAAAAATTATACTTTATCAAAGCCTTTTTCCACAGATTTAACCTTGCCCTATTTTCTTTATTCATTTTGGTCCACTCACCTGTTAGATAGATAAGGTAAATATTCCTTTTCAGGTCCGAAATTATTCCACCTGAGTAAAAATCCTTTAAAAGAAGAAATATGGTAGGTGGTGGTCTGTGAGGCGTTACCAATGAGTTTCATATTTGTGAATGAGTGTATGTGACTTTTTGCTAGATAGAGGAATTGTGATGTTTTGGATAGAAGGCACATGTGCCTGTGTGTGTGTGTGTGTGTGTGTGTGTGTGTGTGTGTGTGTGTGTGTGTGTGTGTGTGTGTGTGTGTGTGTGTGTGAGACTGTGTTTGTCTCAGTTGATTGAACTTGTGTTTCAATTCTCCTGGAAATTATGGCTCAGTATATGGTATATTTGATTAGCTGCCATTCTGAAGGGTCCATTGTACACATTTATTTCCGAAATTCTCAGCTACAAGGCTTTTACACAAAATGTGCCTGTTGGTGGAGTAAAAAGAGATGTATTTGTTTTATAGTTTTGTGAATTCCCCCCTCCTTCCCCATTATTTACGTTCTCCATTTTGGCTGCTACAGCCCTACAGACCTCAACTAACTAAATTCTCTAACAAAGAAACCAAAACCAAAAGTACATTTTGAATTAAAATCACTTCTAATAAAAGCACAAGGCGTTTGCTGAGAATTTCTGATAGGAATGTGTCCTCTGCCCAGGTTCTTTGTGAATATTGTTAATAGAATATTTTGTAATATTTGAACATTGTTTGGCAGAACCAGTGAAGCTGTCTTCTTGTTCTCTTTCTCCCTCAGTCTGTCTTTCTCTTTTCCTCACTCTCCTCTCTCACTCTTTCTTGTTGTTGTCCTGTTGTATCCTTACCTCCTGTGTGAACAACAGTATGCTTTCAATAGTCTTTATAGCTGTCAACGTTCTTTCTTCCCTAAACTCAGCGGGCATTTTTAAAAGTTGTTGAGTATGTGTACTCTATGTGGTTAGGAAACTTGGTGTTTGTACTTTTTGTCCTCCTTGGTGTTTCAAAGGATTTTATTTACTTTCTCTTCTGGATAACTGAAAACAGGAAAGCCTGCTGTAACAGAGACACAGAGGACACAGGATGAGCCATCCACAGATCTCTGCCACCAAAAACATTTGCTATTCTGTCTGTTCTCTCGACTCACAGCCCAAACATTTAACTTTAGAATTACCCGTCATCAAATCCTATCAAAGTTGATCTTTGTAAATATGGACGGTGATGTTTTTTTCTGTTAACCTGCTATCTGGTACCTTCCTGTTGGCTTTTTTTTTTATCTTGAATGTCATTCAGAAGCTACACAGACAGTCAGGTCTGGTTTTAGGTGGATGATATCACTGGTGTGGTTTCTCCAAGGCCGGGTGGAGCAGCTTCAGTCACAGCAGACTAAGCCCCCACTGCTCCGCATAGATGAAATAAAATGTTAACGAAGAGCACACAGACAGGGCTAGAAATGCATAAGAGTGTATTTTTCATAACAGCCAAGAGCATATTTCAAAAAGCAATACAGGAATTGGTCCAATATTATGTCTGCCCACATGTAGCTGTTGTCAAACATTTGTTTGTTTTTTCTGTTTAAGTGGACAAAAAACTGTCAAACTAGCAGCAAAATGTATAATGATCTTTTGAAAAGTGTATTTAATCATCTTAATATGGAGCCATCTCAAAAGCTTAACCAATGTAATACATGCATTTGTGCTAAGACTTACAAAAAAGACATTTAGTTATATAAATATTAGACCTTATGGGTGAAATTATATAGCATAATTGGTAGCCTATCAGTGCATAATTACACAAGACCCTGAAGTCCCTTAGACTCCTGTTGTGCTTTAGTTCCCTCTGATCCAAATGTTAGTACCCCCCCCCAAAAAAAAGAAGCCAAACATATTCAACCTCTGATATTCCTATGAGAGAACTAGTACTATTGCTGGTCATTGTATTACTGAAACAGTGACACCAGCTGCCTAGATCCATTTATAGAGTGTAGTCAATCTGTCCACAAATTTACCTTGGAAAAAAAAGAAGACAAGCACAGACACACAGAGCTTTTTCACTGTAATTGTAAAAGAGGGGTTCAAGACATTGACTTCATAGTCACAGCATCAAGTCTGACATTTAGAAAATATCAAAAACTACACCAAGGGTATGACATAGGGGATAGCAGAAATGAAGTTCCCTGTATTGTTTGTTGCTAGGACAGTGATAAAATGTGTTATTTACTGCTTCCAGGTACAAAACAGGCTATTTTGTGTCGGCTGCTCTTTCAAATGACACCGTTTGAATTATTATGTTAGCATATTTCCGCTCTAAGTGTCAAGTGATTGCATTTTGATTTACAAACAACAAAAACAGAGGTCTTTGATTGTGTTTGTCTCTCTTTCGCTGTTACTGTATGTACTCTTTTTTTTCTGGGCTCAGTCAGTTTTCCTCTTTGCTTTGCCCTCCTATGCCACATGTCGTTGTTGAGACTACTGCTGTGCGTATCTTGTCAGGTGTTGGATATTATTTATGACCTTGTCTTGTGTCTCGACTGTGAAACGCCTGATAAAACATCTATATCTGCCACAAATACAAAATCTGTGGGCTCTCTTCTTCACCTGCCTCCAAATCAGTGTGTGTGTGTAAAAAAGGTAGTAGCAGGTTGTGCATATTTAGCTGTCTTTGTGTTTTTATGTCCCAAAAGTGCAATACATGTGACCACAATGTTCATAAAGGATTATATCTTCAGGCCCTCTGTTTTTGGGGACACCTTGGGATGGAGGAGAGGAGCTTGCTGAGTTCAGAGCGAAACTGTCTGGTGACTAAAGTGTAGATGAGGGGATCCACTGCAGCCTGCACACAGGTCAGCACCATCGCTGATGTCTCCAGCTCCATCATCAACTGCGGAAAAACAGGAGAGCTTAAGATAATACCAAATAGAATACCATTCTAAATGAGTAAATGTCCTCACATTTAGCAGCATCTTCAACTTGGACTCAAGGATGAAATGATTAGAATTTGGTGTTCCAAAATGACATTATTTCGATAAGGTAAAGGTCAACTTCACACTTTACAATTTGTACTTCTTTGAGACAACATCCATATGTGAAGCACTATCTACTGCCAATGCTACAAATGTGTGTTGGATATGCATGGATAACCAGAAGTGTCTAGTATAACTTGTTTTTTTAAACAGTATGGTATAAAAAGTAGGTTGAAAGTTCAAAATGTCATAGAATATTGAGCCTTAAAACAAATGTAAAATACACAGTATCACAACAGGTCAGAGTATAATATGTTATGAGACATTTAATTTCAAATGTTTACATTTTCAAATTATAGTGTGCCATAAAAGGTTCATTAAAAAAGTCATAGTATAGTTTGCCATATGAAAAGTCTTATTCCCTATACCCACTGAGCTATCAGAGGATGTGGGTCAGGCTGAGTCTCAAACAAACAGTCAGACTTTTGAATATTAATTAACGGGTTTCATTGTAAATCTCTTTCAATTTGACCATGTTTCAATATCAAGTGTGAAATATGTGATATGCACATTAATAAAGTTTCCTAGCTTCAGTTGAATGTTCTTCATCTGTCTGGTATCTGACTGACATCATGGAGACAAGGGGTTCAAACCCCACTTGAGGTACATAAGCAAAGGGGGGTGTGTGTGTGTAATGTGATGTTTCATTTGCTCACGGCCATTAGCACATGCGAATTTCCAAAATTACAACATTGTCCACTCAGGAGGGAACAGAAGACACGTAAGTCCATTTCAACCCAATAGATCTGGATGAAAATGTTTCAAACGTGTTCTTTTATGCATTTTGTTGTAACTATAAATATATGTTGAAGTCTACCTGTTGTGTGTCTACTGTGTCATCAATGAAAATATCATAGTATGTCAGCTAAGTTTAATTTAAGTTGAAAAATGTATTTTACTATTATTATTTATATTATAAAATAATAGGAAAAAAGCCATAGAATAGCATGTCAAAAGTATTGTACAAAGGGCATGGTAGGCTATAGTATGTAAAATAAGTCATAGTAAAATATTTTAAAAATGTCATGAAAAAAGTCATAATATTCTTTAAAATTAAAAAGTCATAGTATTGTATGTCGAAAAAGAATGAACAAAAAGTTGTGGAATAGAATATTGAAACAATAGTCATAGTATAGTATTTTCAATTTTTTTTTAACACTAGGACCGCCAGAGGTCGCTGTATACCTAAAACCGCCAACGGGTAAAATGTACCCGCTATAGATTTTCAAGGTATAATGTTCTTTTATTTATCATACAGAACAGTGAGTTTTGAACGCACAGGGATGAAACATATACCATTAGAATCTGTGGACTCTCAGCTTTTCATATAATATAGGTTGTGCAGATAGCATGAGGTTTAAAATATCGCTAAGAGTGCTGACTTTTGTAATTTAAAAATTAAATATATTTACTGACTTAAAAGAAAGTACCATTATATATTTAGTGAATATTGTGAAAAAGTCATATGTCTTTTGAAAAATTATGAAAAATGTCATAGTATAGTCTATCGAAGTTATCATTAAAATAGTTATAGTATAGAATGTCCAAAAGTCAAAGTCTACTTTTCTTTATATGTGAAAAAGTAATGGTATAGTACATTGAAAATCATTGTATAGGGTCACTATAGTATGACACAAAAATGGTCAAATAATGTTTTAAGAGTTTGAGGAAAATGTAATGATGTCTAAAAAATTCATAGTACAGTATGTGGAAATTATTATAATACAATTATATTATAGTATTTCGAACAAAATTGAGAAAAGTATTTAAAACATTTGAACAAAAAGTCTCTAAAATATCTTGAAACAATTCATCATATAGTATGTCGAAGATATCGGGGAAAAGTCATTATTAAGTATGTCAAAAAATTATGAAAAGAAAAGTCCCAGTAAAGTATGTCAAACATATCATGAATCATGAAAGTCGAAGTATGTCTAATGTATACAACAACAAAAAAAGGTCGACACAGAGCCCCCACACATAATTGCTTGCGTCACACTGAACATTAATTGTGTTTTAGAATGGAGAAATGCAGTAATGAGAAAATCTACTACACTCACTTTGTCCGCATCCTGCCACGAGACGACGTTCATAAGCAAAATAACCAGCATGGGCATCCAGCAAAGTGTGAACGCAATGATTATGTACCCAAAACGCTGAGCCAGTTTCCCCTCCATCTTTTTATTTCTACGCTCCCTGGCCCCGGGTGTCAGGAGACACACTGCCCCCACGATCTCCGGAAGTCTCCCTGGGGCGGCTTCTGTGGACGAGCCTTCACCGGGAGCCCTTGCTTCGGCCACCAGGAGCACCGTGCGGCGGGGGGGCAGAGGGCTGAAGAAGCCCGGCGGAGCTGTCCGTGGTACCGGGGCCGGGACATCCAGCAACACGTGTTTTGACACTGTTGGCCTCAGCTGGATTCCCTGACTGAACACTTTCTTTCGGTGCTGCCTTACAACTTTAAATATCCGGATGTAGTGGATAACAATCACAGTAAGAGACAACCCCCATACCGGAACCAGCACGTAGGGGCCAAATGGATCCGCATTTTGAAGCCACTCGTCCCCATTATCCCCGTGGTTCTGACGGCACAGCATGCAAAAAAGCGCATCTTTGGAAAGGATCAGAGAGATTATAGCCAGCAGGAGGCCGCATGCCCAGATGGACAGGATCCACAGCCGGACCCTGGCTTTCATCCTCTCGGTTTGGAAAGGAAACGCGATGGCTTGGTAGCGCTCAACGCTGATGCTGACCAGCGTGAGAAGCTGGACGCAGCTGCACAGGGCATAGGTGAACTGCTGCAGGGTGCACACCGACACAGACACCTGGCTGCTCTTCCCGTACTGCAGACCAAAGAGCAGCAGAGGGGTGTCCACTGAGCATTTCAGGAGGTCACTGACCGCCAAGCTGACCAGCAGCGCATTATTAAAAGTCTGTAGGCTCTTGGTCCTGTAAACTACCCAACAAACCCACAGGTTTCCTGGTGTTCCCAAAACGAAAGTTAAAGTTAAGACTATGCAGTTAAAAATAAAAAACATTGTATGCACGTCAGTCTCATTGTGCGCGGTTGTTTCGTTCCAGAAAGTGTGTAAATCCATATTTTCATCTCCGTTTGGCGCTCCCTCTTATGGAGTCTATAAACATCTCTTTGGTTCATCCTAACCACATTCTGGTTGAAGTCCACATCAGTGACCTGCAGCTCAGAGCGAGTAAAACAGCTATCCACCTTGCTCTACAATAAAGATTCATAAATGCTACAGATGGCAAAATGGAGTTAGGCAATTTTAAGGGTGTTTGCCATTTATTTTGCCCAGCACTGATTGGTTGAATGGTCAGTTGATTAGTCTGTAATCAGGGGCAAGTGGAGTGGCCCAACCTTGCCATGCTCTGCTGAAGAGCCTGGCAAGTAGATAGCAGTTTTTAGCCTCTCCTTGACCTTCCTCTTTAAACCCCATGTTTGATTAGGGCAGGTGATGCAGATGCTCTTTGTAGTCTAAAGTCAGAAGAAAATAAATCATACTATATCGTAATAGGCATAGCATGTAAACATGAAGAAGAGGATATTGAAATACATGATCCATACTGGTAGTTTATTGGAAAAGTATTTGGAGCATACAGTTTAGGGTATGGATTTACTAAAAAATAAAATAAAAGAGCCAACAATTTTAAGTGCAACTTGTTGGAACAGAAGAGCAAACATTTAAATAATTATTCTACAGGGGACATTCAGACACATTTTTAGATTTGAAAACGGTACGATTAAATGTCCTGATAAGCAGAATAGAAATGTCAGTCTTTTAGGAGTTCCTCCATGTAGACAGCATTCATACGATAGGCTGCCATCCAGTTGTGAGCTACACTGTAGTAGCTTTGGTAACCTTGCTCTTGGACAGGAGACATGGAGGCGTAGTAATCATTCCAGGCTCTGTAGCTGGCTCTCCAGTAAGATTCAGCACTCCAATCCCCCTCCTCTTCCTCCTCTTCATTATCCTCATCAACATGTTCCTCTTCATCCCTTTCCCTCTTTTGCTCTCTGCGCATCTTCTCTGAAACCCTTTTGCTCTGTTTCGCATTCTTTTCTCTAACCTTTCTGGATTCATTTCTTCCATTTTGCGTTGGAGCCGTCTGCCTGAGATGCCCGCTCGATCTAACAGTGGGTACAGATTCAGAGTTCTTGGGCTGACACCAAGCACTTGCATTTGATTCCGGCTGGGGATATGGGTTGGGTGTAGAAATGTATGATGATGATGATGATGATGATGTAGTGGACCCTGCCTTTTCTTTAGACACAATGGGTGTTGGTCTAGCTTCAGGCTGAGGCTCAGAGATTGTTCTGTGTTCCCCTCCTCTCGTCTGATCTGGCTCATCATCATCTTCCTCAGATTGCGAGCTTGAAGAACTGGGAACTCCCTTTGGAGGTGGAAGATCAGATTTCCACCTTTTTTGTTTGAAACTTTGAGCTCCATCATCATTTAGGATGGTAGACTCTCTATGTCCATCACCATCCTCTCCACCTCTGAAATCCTTGATGACCTCCACTGATCTACCCAACCCTGTGGTGATGAAGCTGTGGAAGTCCAGATCAGCTTCCTCCAGGGTCATAAACCTTGACCTACATTTCTTGAATGAGCTGAGGGGAGGGATCTTCGGTAGAGCATCCTGT